GGATCCTGGGGGGTGTATATCCCTGGATCCTGCTGTGTGCCCACCCCGGATCCTGCTGTGTGCCCACCCCGGATCCTGCTGTGTGCCCACCCCTGGATCCTGGGGGATGTATATCCCTGGATCCTGCTGTGTGCCCACCCCTGGATCCTCAGGGATGCATCCCTGGAGCAGGACTTGCTGCCTTCTCACACCTTTCCCCCTGGGCTCTGCAAAATCGTGGAATGTCCTCAGCTGGAATCATAAAATCATGGAATGCTTTGGGCTGGAAGGGACCTCAAAGCCCATCCAGTCCCACCCCCTGCCATGGCCAGGGCCACCTTCCACTAGCCCAGGTTGCTCCAGGCTCGTTTTATCCCTGGATGTAGATTTGTAGTGAATTTTTATGATGCACAAAAACCCAGCAGGATTTTAGGGTCACCTCAGGGGGGCTTTGCAGGAAGCAGCAGGAAATGCTGGGCACACAATTCCATACCTGATCCTTCTGGAAGAGTTCATCATAAACACAGAAAGGGAGCCCCAGATCTGCAAACCTGAGCCTGGTGATAAGCATGGAACTGGGAAAACTTGATCTGGGATGTGTCTAAGGAAGCACCACCTGACCTGTGGCTTGTTTTTTTTCCAGCCTATAAAACTGTCTCGGGTGTGAACGGGCCCCTGGTTATCCTGGATCAAGTCAAGGTGAAAACTGGGATCTCAACAAAGTTTTTTTTTTTTAGGGGAGAATTTACAAGCAAAGCTGGGGCGGGTTAAATGCAGACTGGTGGGAAATTCTGGCGTCCACAGAGCAATTTTAATCCCTTTCTGGCTGCTGAGAACGTGGCTCTGAGGCTGGGGAGGGGTGTCCGTGCCCTTGAAGGTGCTGGGGAAAGAAAGGAAACAGTGTTTCAGTTTTTACCAAAATATTGTTTTAAACTTTGATGCTGAAATCCACCTGTTTGCTTTGTTCCTGACCTTTCTGTTTCCAAATAAGTGCTCTGTGAAAGGAAACTCTGAACCCTTGTGGCTTGTTTTCAAGAAGGCAAACAACTGCTGCAGGTTTTTCTCCTGTCAGATGCTGCCCTGTGGCTTTCTGTCGCTGTTCCAGGGCTACCTGGGTGTTCAGAACTGATTCTACCACTCTGCAAACACTGTATATTTGTGTAAAAATTGCTTTAGCCCCTCAGATTTAACGTGCTTGGGAGGAGTTTTGTTCTGATGATGAAATTATTCTTAAAAATTGAGTAGTTTCTAGGCTTAGGCTTGCTTAAAACTGGCAGCTTTTGTTTCCTGGCTGTGGGATTTTGATGTTTTCCACCCTCTGTTTGCTCCCCCTCAGTTCCCCAGGTACGCAGAGATCGTCCACCTGACCCTTCCCGATGGCACAAGGAGGAGTGGGCAGGTCCTGGAAGTCAGTGGCTCCAAAGCTGTGGTTCAGGTATCAACAGGAGTGTCTCTTGTTGCATGTTTTATTAGTATTTTATTAATCAGGGTGCGTCTGAGCCGAGTCGAATCTGTCCTGAGATTTGTTCTTTTGGCACTGGAAACGAAAAAGAAATAAATCACCTACTTATTCCAAGTGCCAGTGGGATGAATAACTTGAAAAGACTGCAGACTGGAGCACAGGGACATTTTCATTTGCATCCCCCACGGATTTCTTTGCTGCTGGATTAAAGGAATCCACTGTAAGTTACACGATGAGGTTCAGGATCAGCTGCTCTGCTGTGGCTGCTGTATTTCTTCTAAAGAGCTGTGTCTTGTTAATATTCTTCTTATCTGAAGAACTTTACCCTGTTGGCAGAGGGAAACACTTGAGATCAAAGGAGTGGCTCCAACTTTGTTGATGTAATTCATGAATTTTGTGAAAAGTGGGGGGTTTTTGATGTTTTGTGGCAGCAGAGCTGCTCTTGCAGCCCTTTGCAGAGCGGGGGCTCCTGCTGTGAGGCAGCACTCAGGTGTTACTTTGTGAAGCACAACACCCTTTCCCTGTGTTTTTATTTGCCTTTTTTCTGCCATATTTGCAGGTATTTGAAGGCACTTCAGGGATTGATGCCAAGAAAACCTCCTGTGAGTTCACCGGGGACATCCTGCGGACCCCGGTCTCGGAGGACATGCTTGGTGAGGGCACAGTGCTTTGAGGGGTGGGCAGATCTATCCCATGGGAACTTATTGTCACAGTAATTTACATTTTTATTGCTGTTTCTTACAGGCAGAGTGTTCAATGGATCAGGAAAACCTATAGACAGAGGCCCCATTGTCTTGGCTGAAGATTTCCTGGACATTATGGGTGTGTTCTAGGCTCTTAATTTGTTTCTGGTGGGGAGTTAAGAGACAAATTTAGTGTGTCTGTTTTCTGAATGTTGCAGTAGATTTGGGTTAGAACACAGGATCTAACTTAGGAGGAGCTTAATCTTTAATTATGTGTGGCATCAAATCAAGTTGCACAAGTGCAGGAGGACGAGGTAGCAGAAAAGAGCAGTTTTCTGCAGTGCTTGGAGGCTGTTCTTTACTATTTGTAGACTCTTAATTGTACAGGCTCCAGAGGTGATTAGCTGGTAACTGGCAGGGTTTTCTGTAAACCATTCTTATCAGTGACATGACCACAGAATTCCAGAGCCTTGGCATCTCCTCAGGTGTGACCAGGTGCATGTAAAGATTTGTTGGCCTCACAGTGGGGTTGGTACCTCTTGAGCAGTTGTTTAATAAAGCTTCAAACACATATAGGGAATAACATATTCTCTTAAAAAAACCACAACAGGTCAGCCCATCAACCCCCAGTGTCGTATCTACCCAGAAGAAATGATCCAGACTGGGATTTCAGCTATAGATGGCATGAACAGTATTGCCAGGGGCCAGAAAATCCCCATCTTCTCAGCTGCTGGGCTGCCCCACAACGAGGTGAGCACTCAGGGCCTCTTTAAACTGTCTGCTTGTGTTTCACTGGGGTTAAAAGTCAGTGAAATGGAAGTTCTGGGCTGTGCAGCAGCATCAGGTGCAAAGACTGAAAGGTTTTCTCCCCAGATTGCAGCTCAGATCTGTCGCCAGGCTGGCTTGGTGAAGAAATCCAAAGATGTGATGGACTACAGTGAGGAGAACTTTGCCATCGTGTTTGCTGCTATGGGGGTGAGTCCATGGAGCTGGAGGGAGCAGTAACTGGGAATTCTGAGAGCAGCTGAAGTACTGTAAGAAGATTTTATGTGAAAGCAACTAGAGGCTGAAGGGCTGAAAATCCCAAAGAGCAGAAGTGGTGGCAAAGGTTGGTCAGAGAAGCTGTGGCTGCCCCATCCCTGGAGGTGTCCAAGGCCAGCTTGGAGCAACCTGGGCTAGGGGAAGGTGTCCCTGCCCATGGCAGGGGGTGGGACTGGATGGGCTTTGAGGCCCCTTCCAACCCAAACCATTCCATGACTCCAACAAAGTGTGTCTGATCAGGATAAAGTGTCTTGAACTTGATCTCCAGCCTGGGATTCTAGAAGTGACTCACTCTGGGAATGTAGAGGAGCCTCCATGGTGGAGAGCCTTGTTATGGATGATTAAGGAGGTGCTCAGACCTTAATGTGATGCAAAGTATCCTAAGCTCCCTGCTGTGGTTTAGGTGAACATGGAGACAGCTCGGTTCTTCAAATCTGACTTTGAGGAGAACGGGTCCATGGACAACGTGTGCCTGTTCCTCAACTTGGCCAACGACCCAACGTGAGTACTTACAACCCTGCTGGGTGGGAAAAGGCTGGCAAGACCAAACCCCACGGGGAGCTGGAGCCATGCTGGTGCTCCAGTGGGTGCAGCAGCAGATTTTGAGCTGTTTGCAGCTCCCAAACCCATCCCTTGCCATCCCTAAATCCCGGCTCACGCCGCGTTGTGTCGCAGCATCGAGCGCATCATCACCCCCCGGCTGGCCCTGACAACTGCAGAGTTCTTGGCTTACCAGTGTGAGAAGCACGTGCTGGTCATCCTGACAGACATGAGCTCCTATGCTGAGGCCCTGCGGGAGGTAGGTGGCCATTAAGGTGTGAATTACCCCGTTCGTTAACGAGCTGGGTGTTGGCAGCCAAGGTTTGTGGTGTGAAGTGAGAATCCAAACTTCTACTGGGGCTGTTGCAGTTAATGTTCACTGCAGTGCTCTTAAATAGCCAGGGAGGCTTTCAGTGAGTGCTGGTGTTCAGTGGGATGTCAGAGCTAAATTTAATGGACTGGTGGCAATTCCATGCCTGGAAGTGTCCAAGGCCAGGCTGGATGGAGCTCTGAGCAGCCTGCTCCAGTGGAAAGTGTCCCTGACCATGGAAGGTGTCCCTGCCTGTGGCAGGGGGTGGAACTGGGTGATCTTTTAAGGTCCCTTCCAACCCAAACCATCCCATGATTCCATGAATTAGCAGTTTGATACCATCATTTTGGTTTTGCCTTTGGCATCTTACCCAAAGGGTCGTGGTGACTCGGAGGGGTTTGTGTGGCTGCGTTTCACAGGATGGGGTCCCTCAAGTGACTAGTGCAGCTAAATCTGGGGAGACAGCAGCTCCAGAAGGGGTGACCTGACTTCCTGGGAATGTTTTTTGTGGCGTTCCCCAGGTGTCAGCAGCCCGGGAGGAGGTTCCTGGGCGCCGGGGTTTCCCGGGGTACATGTACACGGACCTGGCCACCATCTACGAGCGCGCGGGGCGCGTGGAGGGCAGGAACGGCTCCATCACCCAGATCCCCATCCTCACCATGCCCAACGACGGTGAGTGAGCTGCTCTGGGCAGGGCTCCTTCAGGGCAACAGCTTCAGCTTCCCTCTTGAACGCTGCAGCTTCTTGGCTGCTTTCTCTGTGGTGCTAATAAATGCTTTGCCCCGATCCAGGAGCACTTAGGGATAAATGGAGGGAATCAGTGATGGCTTTGTAGTTTAGAAGTCACCTAATGGCAAAAAGCTGCTGCATCAGTGCTAAAATGGATATAAAAGGGCTGAAAACTGTCAAACCATTTATTTTTTTTTCCCCCCCCCATAGATATTACTCATCCTATCCCTGACCTGACTGGGTACATCACTGAGGGACAGATCTACGTGGACAGGCAGCTGCATAACAGACAGGTGTGTGCTGCAACACTTGAAATGTATTTAAGATTACTCTATAGGTTTTTTTAAGTATTCCTGTTAATTCCTGGATGTTTCTCCCCCAGATTTACCCACCCATCAACGTCCTGCCCTCCTTGTCTCGACTGATGAAGTCAGCTATTGGGGAGGGGATGACCAGGAAGGATCATGCAGATGTGTCCAACCAGCTGGTGGGTAAAAACCTCCCTGGGACAGCAGAGCCATGTTCCAAACCCACCTTTGGCTGCCCAGCCTGTAAAGAACATGGGAAGCAGTTGTGATCCACAGCATCCCTGAGGCTGCTTTAAGGCACTGACTGGGTGTTTAGGGAGACCCTTGGAGTTGGAACAGAAATTATGTGGATGATGGGCCATGAAGATGATCAGAGGGATGGAAACTCTACTGGGAAGGAAGGCTGGGAGTGTTCACTTGGAGAAGTGAAGGCTCCAAGGATTCCAGTGCCTAAAGGGGCTCCAGGAGAGCTGGAGAGGGGCTTGAGACAAGGGATGGAGGGACAGGACAAGGGGGAATGGCTTCATGCTGCCAGAGGGCAGGGTTAGATGGGATATTGGGAAGGGATAGGGGCTGGGATGGAATCCCCAGAGAAGCTGTGGCTGCCCCATCCCTGGAAGTGTCCGAGGCCAGATTGGAGCAGGCTGGGCTGGTGGAAGGTGTCCCTGCCCATGGCAGGGGTGGGACTGGTGACGTTCAGACCCCTTTGGATTCCTCCCTGTCCCCCCAGTACGCCTGCTACGCCATCGGGAAGGACGTGCAGGCCATGAAGGCCGTGGTGGGGGAGGAAGCCCTCACCTCCGACGACCTGCTGTACCTGGAGTTCCTGCAGAAGTTCGAGAAGAACTTCATTGCTCAGGGTGAGTGAGGTGTCCCAGCACATCCCAACGGGCACCAGCACCTCGGGGCTGCTTCCCCTGCCCCCTCACCCCTGGCTGTTCCTGCAGGTCCCTACGAGAACCGCACGGTGTACGAGACCCTGGACATCGGCTGGCAGCTCCTGCGCATCTTCCCCAAGGAGATGCTCAAGAGGATCCCCCAGACAACGCTGGCCGAGTTCTACCCCCGGGATTCCACTGCAAAGCACTAACCCTGCTCCCCCTGCCCCTGCTCTGTGAGGTGCTGGTTTGGTTTCTGTCCCCGTGTGTTGGTGTTTACTCGTCGCCCTTTTAGGATTCAAAGCCAGGAGTAGGTGACACCCGTGCCAGTGTTCCCATGTCCACCAAGACCAGCTTTTAAAATATCCCTTCTCCAGGAGAACACTTAGGCCAGCTCTGACAAATGTGCAATAGCCACCACCAGGTTTGGTTTCTTCCTGAGCTGAACCTCTTGAGGGCATTTCAGGGGAGTTGTCTGAGGATCACCAGAAACTGCAAATCTCTGCTTGCACACTGTGGTTTAGGGGAGCATGAAAGAGCAAATGTGACTTGCATGACAGCATTCCTGTCTGGAAAATGCAAGTTTTGAGCCGTGGCTTAAGGTTCTGAAAGGTTTGTGTGAACTGAGGACACGAGGAGGCAAATGCTGGGGGCTTTTCCACCAGCAGAGGGTCTTTCAGAGGACACAGGCCAGTGAGTTGCTACCTGGAAGTAGCATAATTACTGAATTAAAGGTTTTAAATTGAAGTTTGCAGACTAAGTTTCCTACTTAACCCTTTTTTTCTTTGAATTCTGGAAATGCCAGGGACACAAACCAGCAGCTCAAGTGATTCTGAGCTCAGAAGTGTCACCACAACTGCTGGTAATTCAAGGCTTTGTGCTGCTGCTGAAGGGGATTCTGAGGGGTGAGCAAACCCACCTTAAACCTGACACAGGTGGGAGCTCAGCTTTTACAGAATGTCCTGCACTAAATGATGCAACAGGAGGAAAAAAAAAAAAAACCCAAACAAACAGGTTTTAGTGTCAGAAAGGATATTTTGAATCCTGCTCTGGGTGTGCTGGGCCCGTGCTGTGTCTGAAGCTGTTGTGGTTTGCACTCCAGGCCCGGATTTGACTGGCCCTGAGCTCAGCATTCCCAAACCCTGCAATCTTGGCCAGGCAATTCCGGGCTGTTCTTTTTCCAGCGGGTTCAGACGAGGCTCCAGGCCCTGCTGCTGGCAGACTTCCACGCTTTTTTCCCAGGCTTCACACAAGTCTGAGCTCTGCTCTGGCTCACCAAGGCATGTTGCACCTCTCTGAACGCCTTCAGTGCCCGTCTGGGGAGGTGTGAACAGGCCTGGGCTGCCAGGGTGTGCTAATTCCAGCTCCCTGACGTCTCCATGTGCAGCTCTCCCCAGTTCTGTGTTCCCTGTGGCTGCAGCAGCGACTCTATTCCGGTGCATTCCACCCAAAGCTGTGTCAAGTCTCTCTTTTTTTTTCCTCTTTTTTTTTTCTCGAGGTCGGGGTGGGAGGTTGGAAGTGTTGGCATGAAAATACTTTAATGTAGAGAATATCTAAATAAATTAAATATGGAAGGTGTTGAAGACAATGGAAGGCTCCTGTGGTTCTGTGGTGGTTCAGCAGGGGCTGGGATGTCCCCTGGGAATGGAAATGGAGCCACTTCAAGGGGCAGGGAGGGCCCTGAGGATTCCCTGCTGAAGAGGAGGAGGATCTGACCTTCAGCCTCAGCCCCCAGTGCTGTGTGGAGTTGGGGGGTGGTGCAGTCACAGGGAAAAGCTTTGCAGGAATGTGCAGGGAATGGGATCCCCCTGTTCCCACATCCCTCTCCAGGGGTGGTTTGTGCTTGAGGAGGCTTGGAAACATTAAACTCCTGGACAATGAGTTCTGGGTGCTGAGTTTGCTTTGGGGTTTGGGTGTGGTCAGCACTGGGGGGGTTGTTCAGGTGTTCCTGCAGCCAGGCTGCTCAAACTCCAGTGCCAGTCCCTCTGAATTCCCAGAATGGTTTGGGTGGGAAGGAACTTTAAAGATCATCTTTTCACTCCCCTGCCATGGGCAGGGACACCTTCCCCTAGAGCAGGGACTGGCTGGGACAAGTGGTTTTGGCTTTTCTACCCATTTTCCCCTTCAGTGACAGTCTCTGTCTCGAGGGAGAGCCTGTGCTTAGGGGTGGGAATAACCCAGGAGCTGGGGCTCAGGGACAGGCTCTGAAAACTGAGCCAGGGGAGAAATTCCACAGTGCAGTGAATTCCTGAGGTCCCTCAGCAGGTGACAGAGCTTGGGGACAAAGGTTGAACGCACCCAAGGGTGTGTGAGCAGGAAGGTGCCTCTCTTGGGATGCCTGCAGGGATTCTGTATGGATAACAGGGCTCCTGGAATGTGTGTGTGTCACAGAGCAAAGGGAATTCTGCAAGGATAGGAATATCCATGGCAGTTAAACTGCACTGCTCTGCAGCTGGTGGGAGCAAAGGGGAAGGAATAAAACATTGCAGCTCTTCAGCTCTGGAGGCTCAAAGAGAGCAGGAACCTCCTGGCTGGAGAAAACAGCACCACAGAGTTATCCAGGTGGGAAAAGCCCTCTGAGGCCACAGAGTCCCCCCTGTGCCCCATCCCCACCTCATCCACTGAGTGCCACGGCCAGACCTTCCCATGGCACCTCCAGGAGTGGGGACTCCAAACCTCCCTGGGCAGTTCCAGTATTTAACCAACCCTTTCAGGGAGAAATTCCTCCTGATGTCCAACCTGAGCCTCCCCTGTCCCAGCTTGAGGCCGTTCCCTCTCCTCCTGCCCCTTGTTCCCTGGCAGCTCCCCCCTCCTGTCAGGGGGTTGCAGAGCCAGAAGGTCCCCCCTGAGCCTCCTTTTCTCCAGGCTGAGCCCCCCCAGCTCCCTCAGCTGCTCCTGCTGCTCCAGCCCCTTCCCAGGACATCACCCCGTGCTCTCAGCAGCTTCCCAGGTGAGGACAAACCCCTGTCCCAGGCAGGGAACAGCCCGAGCCTGGCACAGGAACGACAAAAGCACCTTTGTCACCTTTGTCTGCCCCCAGCCAGAGGTCCCACAGCAGGTCTGGGGGCTCAAGCACAGCGATTTTAGCCCCGAGGTGGGAGCAGAGCCCCTCGGGGGGGAGCACAGGGCTCTGGGGGCAGGTCAAGGGGTGCCCCCTCTGCGTGGCACCAGCCCTGGCAGCGCCCTGAGAGCTCCCGACACGGCTCTGAGCCGGGTGCCAAAGGAACAGCCCGACACTTCCCGGCAGGAGCCAGCAGGTACCAGGCTCGGGGCGAGGAGGGGGGACGGACGTGCTGCTCTCCCAGCTGCTGCCTCGCTGCATTAACGCGCTGTTTGCTATTTTTATTCCTCTTTTTTTTATTTTTTTTATTTATTCCATAATGACTAATGAGGGGCTGCCCGGGGGGCTCATCCCCCCTCTCCAGCGGGTGTCAGGCGGTCCCCGCAGGAGCACACGCCAGCTGTCAGCCCGCGGAGGAGCGGAGGGAGGGGGCGAACCCCGGGCAGGGCCCCCCTTTGCCCCCGGGGGTCGGTCGGGGTGGCAGATGCAGGGCCGGGGAACAGGCTGGTGGGCAGAGCTGCCCGCGGGTTATTTGCACATCAAAAGCAGCTTCGCCTCCGAGCACGAGGTGCCGGGGTTTAATTGCTCTTTCAAAGCCAACCCCGGGCTTGGCGCTGCGGAGATTTTTAGGGCTGACTCTGCTCCCCCCCCCCCCCCCCCCCGCAAAGCCAGACACTGGTGCGGTGGCACCGGGGCGTTTAAAGAAGATGCAAATCAGCTTTTCTCCGTCTTGAGGCTGATTTGCATCCGCTGATTAGTCCAACAATTCACACTCCTTCTGTGCGAGGGCGGTTGGGCTCGGGCAGCTGGAGCTGAGCTCACCCAAAGCGCGGGGACCCCAGTGACGGGGAGGGGGGGGTGCCCGGGCTGGGCTGGTTCTCCTGTTTGCCCCCAGCACTGGAGCCAACCGTGCCCCTCAGGTGCTTCCTCAGCCCTGGAGCCCCGGCACAGCCTGGTGCCATCCACCTGGGTGTCCCCAGGGCACGGCTTTACCCCGGGATTACCGGGGCTTGCTGCTCCTTCCTTGGCCGTGTCCCCTCCTGGCCGTGAAGCAGCGGGGTCATAGCAGGGACCAGCCTGCCCCGGCCACGTCTGTGCTCCAATTCCCAGCCTTCCTTGTGCTCTCCCAGCATCCTGACACGGACCAACAGCCCTGAAGGACCCGCTGGTGCCCACTGTGCCTGGGGCAGAGGATGCTCCGAGCCCGACCTTGGGGAGGGCACAGCTCGTCCTCAGAGGCAGCTTCAGGAGGGGTTTGGTGGGAAAGGGGAGAAGCAGCCCAGGGTCCCCAGGCTGGCTTCCCTGGGCATTCCTAAGAATTCCTTGGGGTGTATGTGCCCTCAGGGATGCTGCCCTTGCTCCTGGAGCTGCCCTTGGTCCCTCTGGCGCTGCTCAGCTCTGCCGAGTCTCTGCTCTGCTGCAGCACTTGCAGTTTGTGAGCTCCTGGGAGTTATTCCAGGGATAACTGGCAGCTCAGGGGTCTCCTCCTCGCTGCTGCCTTGACCTGGATTACACGGACCAGCCCGGGAAGGGCTCAGCTGAGCCGGGAGCACCCCCAGCCAGGGCAGGGGATGGCCGGGGATGATCTTCAACACAAGGTGCCTCTCAGGAGGCAGAGCCTTTCCACGTGGTTTTCCGTCTTCTTCCTCCTCAGCAGCTTTTCAAAGGCTCTAAAAATAAACTTCCCTCCTGCCCGGGGCGATGTGAGCACAGCCAAGGTTTCCCTGGAAAGCTCAGTGGGTGCCAGGTGCCCTTTTGAGGGGGCACAGAGCAGCTTGTGGGGGGCTCAGTTTTAGTGTTTTCCCCATTTTTTGCTCCTCAACCTCTCCCTTTACTCTCCCCCCAATGCTGTTTAGATCCTTGTGGTGTAAAGAGGCTCCGGGTTGGTTTGGTTTGGAGAAAAGAAAACAGCTCCCAGAGTCAAAATATGACCTTGGGTTTGTTCAGGCCTCTTCCTTTGGGAATTGTTTTCTCTGGATCTCCTCAGGACACGGGTGGTGGGTTGGGCACCCCTGGGACTGGGGGAGGAGAGGGGGTCAGGGTGAAAATCAGCCTCACCTGCAGAGCAGGAGGGTGAAGCTGGAGGGTGCAGGGTGGGGGCAAGGCCAGGGGGATTATCCCCCCTCTCCAATCCCTCTGTGTGTGCCAGAGACAGGCTTTTCCATGCTTGGGTTATCCCAGCTGCAGAGTGGAGATAACAGGCCTGGGGACAACAGGGCCAGGTGGAGGGATGTCCCCAAAGGGGACCTTGGGGGGCTGTGATAGATGGCTTGTGGCTTGAGGGGGGGGCACAACAAAGCACCATCCTGCTTTTTTTGGTGTGGAAAACCCCTGGAACGCTGCCAAGCACTCAAGGGTGGTGGTGGGGAGGCCGAAAAGAAGTTTTACAAAATTTTTATTTATAAATAGAAACATAAAATTACCAGTAGTTTACATCAGTCACCAGAAATAACATCCAAAAAAAAAAAAAAAAAAAAAAGAAAAGGGAAAAACAAAACAAAAAAAAAAAAAACCTGCAGAAAAAAAATTCTCTGTACAGGCTGAGGCCGGGCAGGAGCCTCCCCCCCCGGGTTGGCTCCCACCTGGAATGACACACCTGGAATGCAGACGGGCACACACAGCGTTGTGCAAAGGCAGCACGTCGAGGCCTCTGGGCCATCACATCATAGAGCAGGGGCTGGGAGAGGGGGATATGGGGCTGGGAGAGGGGACATGGGGCTGGGAGAGGGGGATAGGGGGCTGGGACAGGCGGATATGGGGCTGGGAGAGGGGGATATGGGGCTGGGACAGGGGGATATGGGGCTGGGAGAGGGGACATGGGGCTGGGAGAGGGGGATATGGGGCTGGGAGTGGGGACACGGGGCTGGGAGAGGGGACATGGGGCTGGGAAGGGGCACATGGAGCTGGGAGAGAGGGATATGGGGCTGGGAGAGAGGAACATGGAGCTGGGAGAGGGGAATATGGGGCTGGGAGAGGGGGATATAGGGCTGGGGGACAGGGGAGGTGCCACCAAGGCCAGTGGGAGCAGGAGCAGGGCGTTGGGAAGGCAGGGAAGGGCTCTGCTCCCCTGGGTTTGGCTCTGGGGTGGGAGAGGGGGGTGCAGAGCTCCCAGTGCTTGGGGCCATGGCTTGGGGGATGCACTGAATCCCTTCTGGCCTCGAAGCTGGAGCCATCCCAGCTCCAGAGCATCCCTGGGCAGGGCTGGGCAGAGGCTGGACCCGGCGTGGCCCCGATTTACAGCCACGGGGATCTGAGGTTGGCTTTTCTCCGGCGGGGCCGTGGATGAGGGTCGGGGTGGACACCCAGCCGGGATGTCCAGGGGATAACTTGGGGCAATGCACTTGGGGGTGCTCGGGGCCAGGTGCAGAAGGCACAGACTGGTTTCTGTGTGTCACTTTTCCAGGTTGGAATGGTGTGAGGGGCGCTGGGTTCTGCTGCTCATGAAGCCCTTGGCCCGATCTGTGGCTTTGGGGGTTTGTGCAAGACCTGCCCCCAAACCCCCTGGGCTGGGGCAGTGGGTGAACAGACACCCTGCAGTAAAGAAAATATCCTTGCACTGGCACAGAGGTGGCCTGGCTGGAGATCTCCACCCTGGGAAGTTGGATCCAGGCTGGTTCCCTCCCTCCTGGCCGTGCTGAGCCACAGGGGACACGGGAGTCACCTCTGGTGACCTTCAGGGGAGCCTCGTTATCCACTTGCTGGTGGCAGGAGGAAATTTTTAAGAGCTGGGGTAGAAAACAAAGTGAAAGTGGGGGTTTTTTTTGGGGGGGGGTTTCTGTTAACCAGCTCCTCTTGATGGGATCCCGTGGATGTAAGGACACAGCAGGAGATAAGGCAGCCGGGGGTCCCGGAGGGGACGGTCGCAGCGAGTGTGGGGGGCTGTGGGGTGAACACAACCCCGATTCCTTGGTCAGACTGTGGCTGGGACACTTCTCCTAGCTCTGAAATCCAGCTGCTGCCTGGCAGCTGGGGAAAGGGACTCTGAGTCCTCGTCCAGCAGAGCAGGGAGTGCTGGGCTGGCCACGGCTCACCCGGGGATGTGCAGGGGGGGTGCAGGGTGGGCTGTGCCCTTCAGTGAACGGGGATTTTGGTGGGTTTTGGCTGTAACCCGCTGGGGGGGTGCAGGTGGGGTCCTTCCTGAGGCACTGCAGCGGCCCAAGGGTGGGAGCAGCGGATGTGCCAGTGGCAGGAGGTGGCTCCATGGTCCCACAGCGCCCTGGGACTGGCACTGACGGAGAAGGGTGAGGAGGTGTGAGAGCAGCGTGGTGCTTCCTGCAGGGAGCTGGGCATGTGCTGTGGCTGATTCCCTTCAAAGGCAGTGGGAAGGACCGTGGCGTCCCCACTGCCCGGAGTTTTGGTGTCCCCATCCCCGGAGCTGTGCCCTGATCCCTCCGAGCCTGGAGCAGAGCACCCCTCGGGCGCTGTGCGTCGACGGGAGTTAAATCTGCTGAGTTCCTGTCCCCTGACCACCCCATCGCCGGCTCCTCAGTCCTCCCAGGGGCAGAAGGGGCACTGCCGGGGCGGGGGGAGCTGCTGGCACGTCACCACTGGCACGAGTTGCTTGTTCACCTCTGTAACACGACAGGCGACGGGGAGCACCGGGACGGGCAGGGAGCGGGGCCAGGAGCCCCCCGGATAAATACATGGCTCAGCTGGACTGTACAAGGCACGGGCAGTGTGTCCCCCCTGGAGAGGGACACCTGCCCCGAGCTGCAGGGAGGGCAGGGCAGGGCAGGGCAGGGCCGGCTCAGATCTCAGTGGCGATGATGTCCTCGTAGGGCACGTCGGCGCCGGGGATCTCCAGCTCGATGGGCTCCTTGCCGTCCTCCCCCGCCGCCAGCTGCTGCAGCATCTTCTCCAGGTTCTGGTTCCTCTTGTACATGTGCAGGTAGCTCTGCTGCAGCTGCTTCTGGTAGTGGATCACCTTCTCCTTCTCCTCCTTCCACGTCTGCCGCTCGTGCTGGAAGCCGGAGGTCATCTGCTCGTTGTTGTCCCGCTCGGCCTCCAGCTCTGCCCGCAGCCTCTCCACCTCACCCTGCAGGGCTTGGGCCTCCTCCAGCCCCGCACAGGGCCCGGGCCCCTCCCGGGCCTCGCTCAGCTGCTCCCTGAGGACGGCGAGCTCCGTGCGCAGGTCCACGATCTCCTGCTCCAGCAGGTTCACCTTCTCCCGCAGCAGCTCCGAC